TAGTGCAACGAAAGCAAAAATGGGCATCAGACATGGTAGGAGGCAACAAGGAGACTTCTCCCAGGAATGAGAAGGAGGTAAAGTATTTCAGGCACAGGGAGAGTCCTAAGGCTAATGTGTAAATTAAATTAGATGAAATGCTCCAGAACTTCAGAGGGCACTAGAAAAACACCACCTAAAAATTAAAAAAAAAAAAAAAAAACTCAAGTGGTTCCTGTATCTGCTTACAGAGTTTTACACAGGGGCTCTGAAAATCTTCTGGGTAGTAGTTCAATATCAGCCCAACAAGAAAAGGATGAAGAAATGCTGCTGAGGGGGCTGGAGCCCCAGCACATTTGCGAAGAGTTGTTCTGAGTAGAGGATCTGAGGTTTCTTTGATAAGCAGCAAGTAAAGGAAGTGGTTTCAGATCTAGAAGCCTCCATCTGCTATTTCACATACCACTTCTTAGCAAATCACTTTTCCTTCAACGTTTTACAAAACATCCTGAGGCCCTGCGCGTGTTGTTCTGAGGGAACCACACCCTTAATCTCCTCAGTGAGAGCCTAGCTTTTTTATCTCATTCCTCCAAGTCGCACTGTGTGTGACCTAGACAACCCCTACTCTCTGATTCCTTAGAAACAGACTCAAAGTGGTTTCCAAGACTCTTTTTTTTCACTCCTGATGTCTGGGTCCCAGTCTGAGTTCAGTTCAACAAATACTTATTAAGCTCTATGAAGCGTTGGTTTCTGTGCTGGAGCGCAGTGAGTGGAAAGAGGAGGAAGACAAAGCTGTTGTCCTGGAGAGAGATGGACCCCAACCAAAACACATGCTTTAAGTGCCCAATTCCTCTGTCTCTAGGATGATCAAGTCAGAACTACCTGCTTTACCTCTAGCCATAAGCCTCTATTGTGCTCTGGTTTCTTGTTGTTTCTGGAATTGGTCCTCCCTCTCTAGCTTTCCCATCCTTCCTCAGGATCCTGGTGGTCTTTCTCACAGCAGACTTCCTTTTCCCATTCTCTGTTTTACCACCTTCAGTCCTTCGGTGCCTTTGCGTCTACTCAGGGTCTGAGTTCTCAGTCTGCACACAGCCTTTGTCATGTTGTTGAAAGAGCCTTGGCTGCTTCAGCTACTATTTTCTCTCTTCTTTAAAAAGCAAAATAAGACACAAAAAGAATAGATACATCATCAAATATTTTTGTGTTTACTTGCTGAAACGTAGTCTGTGATCTCATTTTTTAGGCACTTACAAGGTGTAGCCAATACTTTATCAATGGAAGTTTACAAATGCATGAAATAAAAGATAACTTGTAGAAAGGATACAATACTCTGTTACAAACATGGCATCTAGCCTCTGAAACAGGTTTAGCAGCATTTGCTACCAGTGAGCATAATCTTCAGGTTTGTGTTAATTAAGTTATTCGATTATTTGAGGATCTGAGGTTCATTAAGTTCACTGTAGACACAAAGAAGAGGAAGAAGTTTATGACCTCAAATGATTATTGGCCAGTTGGGGAGACATTTAAGAAAAAGCTACATAATTATCCTAGAATGCGATAAATGCTACTACTATGCACTTAGGTACTAAATGCTATAGGAATATAAACAGGGAGCTATAGATTTAGCTGTGAGTGGGAGGCTTTGGAAGTCTACACAAAGAGGGGATGCTTGGTCTGATCTCTGAAATATGAAAGCTCCAAATATGAAATATGGACAGGAGAGAAAGGCATTTCAGGTGGAGGACACAGCATGGACAAAGGCATGCAAGTGGGAAAGGATTTGGTGAGTTCATGGACCCATGGTATCTCTATGTGGCTGGAACCTAAGGAGCAGGCAGGAGGGTGGCCTGGAAGATCTGATGGGTCAGCTTGCTAAGGAGTCTTGTTTCACAGGGAAAAATTTTCAGTGGGAAAAATTTTCAGTAGCAAAATGAAGTGATAAGTTCCATATTTCAGAAAGATTATTCTTTAGGATAACAACTTGGATAATAAATGGTAAAGAAAAGAACTGACAGTGTGGGCGTGGTGAGGAAGGGTGTGTCTGAGAATTAGCCAGACTGAGGGGACATGGTTGAGAGGAGCCACACAGAGGAATGGAAGTTGAGAGGACCTAATAACTGATTAAATATATCCATGAGTATAGGTGACAGGAAGAAAGAAAGAAGACTCTAGGATAAGAGTTTTCTGCTTTGGGTAGCTGCTATTTGATGAAGCAGTGAAAAATAACAGTTCAGGACACAGCTCTTAGAGTTGTAAGACTAAGAATTTATTTCAGTTTTTTTTAAGGCTTTTTTCAAATCAATCTTTTTTTTTTTTTTTTGGTGGGGGGAGGTAACCAGATTTATTATTTTTTTAATGGAGGTACTGGGGATTGAACCCAGGACCTTGTGCATGCTAAGCACACACTCTACCACTGAGCTATATCCTCCCCACCCCCATTCCTGGTTTTAATATTTATTTGGATGAGTTACTTAGCCTTTCTGTAACTCAGTTTCTTAATTTGGAAACTGGAGGATGATTGCATCTACATCAGGGCTAGATGAGATTTAATGTTTCTAGTAGACTTTAAATGACAAAATACATATAAAACCTTAGGGTGGAGAGTGGTACATAGTAAGCCCTCAAGAAGTATTAGCTATTATGATTATGGTGGGTCATTAACTAGTGTCAGGGAAACAGACAGAAAGCAAGGTAGGGAGGTCAAGGAGAGATCTGTGAGTTCAATTCTGGGCGTATTGAATTTAAGGTGACTTCCGACATCCATGAAGAAATGACCCACAAACAGTTGAAAATAAATGAAATGATTGAGATTATGTGTATTAAAAATTTCTCTGACAGGTTATTTATGTAATTATTTGTCTATAACAAGACCTCATGAGAAAAATCTCTATTTCTCACTTGCAAGGGTATGGCCACTTTCAGGCCCCAGCATTGATGCACCCAAACCCAGAGACCTGCACAGAGCTGTTCAAAACTGTCTGGGAAATCAGCCAGCAAGAGTTAATAATTATCATCCAAAGAGGAGATAGTTCTGTTCTCTTATGCAATCTCAAAATAAATTTCTCGAAGTCTGCAAATTTCTAGAGAATGTACTAATCCATAACTTTGTTTCCTCAAGTCAGAACTTCAGGACTTTTATGAATGGTCCTTTGTCAAAATATACTAACTCTCTAATTTGATTTGAACGACCATCCACGGATCCTCACATTTGGACGGGAGATGATTAAAAATTAAAGATGCACAGCTGTTTCTTAACCATGAAATAGTGTAGCACAACTCTTCAATTCTTACCTCTCCTGTTCTGTTATTCTTGTGCTATCAACTGTGGAAGTTCACACTGTGTTTCTCTCATTTTGTCATTCATCAGAAATGCTTAAGATCTGGATCCCTTGTTTGCTAGGAAGCCAGCTCTGCACCAAATGCAAAGAGCTCTATCCAAGCTTCTTTCATGGATGTTTCCAACAGGAGAGTTGAGTGATTACCCAGAGAACAAAGGAATTAACATATGAATACGTTTACTTGGAGCTGCTCTCAGTATCTTTAAAATATTATTATATGTATATATTCATTCAACAAATATTTGTGGGCCACTTATTATGTGTCAAGCAAAGTGCCAGGTGGTGGGGATCCAGAGCAGGTGAAGAGCGGCAGCATGGTCAGGTGCAAGAATATGGTCCTCAATGATAAGAAGTCTTGTGTTCAAATCCTGTCTTCCCAAGCTTCCTGACTTTGCTAAGGTACTTATTCCCTCAGCCTCAGGCTTAAGGTAAAATACAAGAATTAATTTCTACTTTATAGCATCTAGTGTGGCAGTTGGTATACAAAGTATGCCCTCAGTTAACTATCACAGGCTCCCTGCCCTCAAGCAGCTCTCCATGTCCATCATTATTATTCAGACATAGTCCTCGTGCTCTCAGTCTAGTTGAGGAGACAAGGTATAGGATCAGGTAATTAGGGTGTAGTGTGGTAAGTGAAAGAAGACATTGAGTTAGGAGGATTGAGAGTTAAAAGTTTGATGTATGGTGTGAATTTAGCATAATATCAGATACATTTCTGTTGCAAGAACCTTATTTCATAATTTTGGTTTAGCATCTCGTGAAGGTTTCAGGGCTATAAGAACAAGCTGATACAATGATCCAGGGCTTTGCTATGTGCAAAGATGTAACATCTCATTTAATCCCCACATACACACTACAAAATAAGAACCAGTATTATCCCCATTTTACAGATGGGCAAACCAAGGCACAGAGATGTTAAAATAACTTGTCCAAGGTCACAGAACTAGGAAACCAGGATTCAGAGCCAGGTACTCTAGCATCAGAGCCCGCATTTGTGCCCACACCCTACACTTCTGATTGTTTCCTTCTTCAAGCTTCATATCATAACCAGTAGGGACTGTCACTAATTATTTACAAATTGAGGGAAGTTCAGGAAAAGGTCAAACAGAAGAAAAGTAGTGGATCTTGAAGAAATATAACTTGCCATTTCTTTTCTTCAGGCAGAATATGAGAAGTGCTCTGTTGACATAGCCTGGACCAGCCAGGCTCTTTCCTTCTTCCCATGCCCACTTTCTAGAGGTGGCCCAGTCAAGCTCTTCTCTCATGGACTGTGCAAAGTGTTCTATAGCTTTGAAAAAAAAAAAAAAGCCCTCATTTTGGATCAGCTTCACTTTCTATTTCTGAGAAGCATTAACTGCAACATTTTTCAATTTCTCAGTTCCCTGATACAAGATCCTGTTCCACTGAAAGAATACTTTGGTTTTATAAACCTGTTGGCCATCATCTAGTTTGTCTGGAAAGCTGTGAAGGGGAAAATAAAATTGCACTCCTTTTACAGAAGGAGAATCTGAGAACTGAGCCCTTGGGAATGGAAGTAGCTTATGTCTTCATTAATCAGAAGATTCGTAGGAAAGAGTGAGAGATAAGCACTGTGGTCTTGAGTCCCAAAGGCCACTTGAAGAATGTCTGGTGCACTGGTTCCTTCTCATGTTTGTTCTCCTGGGAGACCTAAGGAACTCCTGCCTCTGGGTCTTCTTCCTTCTTTCTTCCTTCCCTCCCTTCCTTCCTCCTTCTTCCTTCTCCCTGCACTTCCCACTGGGGCATTCGGACACTAGGGACTTGACTGAGTAAGCACAGCAGAGAGAGGCAGGGACAGCAGATTCAAGAATGCAGATGTTCAGGAGTGATCCCTCAATGCATGTAAAGGTGAGGAATGCTTTAGTTTTAGGAGAAACTCAGCTTGTTCATTGTGACTCTGGAACTTCTCCATCCTTTAGGACCAAATCTCTTTATTTCTTCCTTCATGTCCCTCCCTAGGGCGACTGCCTTTCTCCTCCTCACACCAGGCTGCTTGCTTCAGTTGACATCATAGTTGGTCTAACGCCCTCCCAAGTGCTCTTATACTTGAAATGGCCTCTGATGTCTGCATCTTGATATTTAATGCTTGCCATAATTTGATTCCACTATTTTTATTGGCTTCTATCCATCGATGCTTCCAACATGTACCTTCTTTTCAAGCTGGCTGGTCACTTTCAATTCCATTCAACAGCATTTGTAGCTCACCAGCAGAGTACAAGGCACCATATTGGCTAGTGTTTGATGCAGAGATGAAAGTTATCATCTCTCATGATCACTTCATGACCATGAAGTCATGGACCTGCCCTTTAAGTAATGGACAATGTGGAAGGAAGCAAATAATTCTCTACACTGTAAGGTAGAATGAAATGAGCTTTAGTGATAGAAGGGCCAAAGGGGTAAGGAAGAAGTGCAAAAAGAGCCATGATCAATTTGACTAGTGATACCAGGAGAAGCTTCATAGAGAAGGTGACATTTGAGCTGAGTATTGAAGGGTGTGTAGATGGACAGGGGATGGGGGCACACGTTCCAGCTGAGGCACTCTGCCATGCATAGGTGTATTGAGGAGGTGCCCAGAACACACCACACAGATCCAGGCCTTTGCTCTCTTTTATGCTTTCCTCACTTGGATGCCCTCTGTCTTCTTCATTCTCTACTAAATCCCACCCACTCTTTAAGGCCCAGCTTCAGCTGCACCTCCTCCATAAGGTCTTCTCTGTGCTAGCTTGTGCCACTCCTTGCAGCATGGAATTCAGGATTTAACTGTAGTGTCTATGCTGTAATTAGACCCGGGCAGACATTATGTTCATCTTATACTTTGGAGACGTTGCAGCCTCCAACACAGTGCTAATGACAGTCGGGGCTAGATAGTTCTATGGATCCATTAACTGGGACTAAACCTTCATTCTGCCTAAAGACAGTTTATTTCTGCTGTCCAGCCTGGGATTGGTCATGAGGGTTTAGGATTTAGCTGGTTATGTTTGCTAACACATAAGAGAAACAGTTTCTCAAATGCTTACTTAAATGTTCTGCTCAGCCATGGGTGATTCCTCCTAAGTGCTGGCAGGGAGAAGGGGAGGGTCACTAAACTCAGCTTGAACTCTAGGGCCCCCTGGGCTGAGCCTCAGGAACTGGGGTGAATCTGGTTTCATCATCAACACTGTCATCTCGCAAGCTCCCCCTCGAGAGAGACTACTTCCTTCGAGGTCTCTTGTTTTGATGGCTGAATTCCCCTAAAGTGCCAGAAATATAGCTAAGCAATTTCTTTTGGAGAATGAGTGTACTGGATATGGCTTCCTCTTCTTGCTGAACCTGCTTGAAGTGTGGAATAGCCTGGTTATACAGAGAAACAGAACCAATAGGGAGCAGCTGTATATAAAAAGGAACTAAGTCTTGTGGTTGTGGAGACTGAGAAGTTCCGAGATCTGTAGTCAGCAAGCTGGAGAGGCAATGGTATAGTTCCAGTCGGAGTCCAAAGGCCTAAGAACCAGGAGAGCTGAGGGTGCAAATTCCAGTCCAAGTCCAAGTCTAAGTCTAAAGGCAGGAAAAGACTGATGTCTCATCTCAAAGACAGTGAGGCGGAGAGAGAGGATGAATTCTCCCCTACTCCACCTTTTTGTTCTATTCAGGTTTTCAATAGATTTGGTGATGCCCCTCCATCCTGGAGAGGAGAATTAGTCTGCTTTCCTCAGTTTACCAATTCAAGTGTTCATCTCATCCAGAGACACTCTCACACTCTCACCTGAAATAATGTTTAACCAAATATCTAGGTACCCCATGGCCCAGTCAAGTTGGCACATCGCAGAGTGATATACAAGGGAAACTTGGCCAGAAAGAAAATCTTATGAGGTTTCTGAAGTAGAGCATGAAAAAAAAAAATGCCCCAGCAGTCTAGTGCCTCTAGAAAGAGCATTTTCCAACACTCCATTTGGAGAGTGTGTCTGCATAGCTGAGAGCCACAACTCTGATGGCTTTCCATGAGACACAGTTGCGTATGATTGGGCTGGTCCAGACAGTGGTACCCTGCACAAAGGTTTCCAGACAAAGGGAAAGACAGAGGTTGAAATGCAGTCCTCATTCTACACACCAAGCCATGCACTTAGGTGAGGGGCTGCATCTGCCCGAGGTGCTGTGTGTCCTGGGGGAGGAGACCATGCACCAGGGATCCTCGTATATTATGGGAATACGGAACAACGTGATGTCTCCTGAAGAATAAGGAATGTACAAAGTTCCCTTGTGACAGGTTAAGGCTGTTAAACAGAAACCAATGCTTCGTGGAGGCAAACAGTGTTAGTCTCAGAAAACTGAGCTAACGAGCAGAAAACTGCTCTGGCACTTAAACCCTGCCATTTGCTAAAAGGAAGTCAAAAGGTTATCTGTGACCAGAACTGACCTATTCACAAGTCAGAAAAATGAAGCCAGGAGGAGACAGGATGATGACTATCTGTTAACGACTACTCTAGACTGTTGGGGGCAGGGTGATTGCTACTAGGCTTCAGTAATCTTCAGAACTATTCTTAGATTATTTCCTGCTAGAGAATCATAATAAATATGATGCAGACCAGGCATTCAGGGCTCTTGATCCATGGGGGTCTTGAGTCCCCTGGTCCTATCTTTGATTTGACTCTTGTGTCTGTCTTTCTTAATTGCCACGTCACCCGTCCGTTTACAGGAACCATTGTTGCGCTGGCCACAACAGTTTATATTGAGCATGAGTAGAGAATCCTAAGTTGCATGCCACTGGCATATTACAGGTGTGCAAAATATTGATCTTCCACATATGGGGTTACTGGGAAGGGTCATTTCCTCTAGTCATATACAGCCTTCAGACATGAGCAATCTTGACTGTTTGCCCATCGTGTCATAAAAATATTATTTTCTTCATGTGCTACAATATGAAGAAGGTTGGGAAGAACTGTGGCAGGGGACCTGCCTTGTCATTCATCTGGAAGGGAGCCATTCCAGAAAGGGCATGTGTCCATTTTGTCTATCTAGGCACAAGCTATACCCAGCAACAGAGTGCTTCCTTCTTTGCTTATGTGTTGGGATCTGGTGATTTGCAATCTCCAGGCAAGACTATGGCAGAGAAAGTCTGGGTCTGGGGCATCTGCCAGTATCTACAGTTGTAGCTCAGTTTCCATAGGGAGGACGCCATCGGGGAGCCTAGATCACAATTTCATAGCTTGAAGTCCCAGGAGGTTTGCTGTCCTGAGTGCTGGGTTTCTCCGTCTGCACAAAAGGGAGATGGAGGACATGTTAACTGAAAGGAGCTGCTAGGGAATTCCAGTCCCACGAGGTACCCAGGAGAGTTACGTAAATGGCACAGGGAGATGCCTTAGATTTCCCTGGTTCTGGGGTGATCTGGGGTAGCAGGGCCTTGCCCTTGCCGAGTTCCCTCAGCTCTGTTCCAGTCACCCCATTTAAAAGTCCTTGGGTCATCAACTTCTTAGCCTAGAAAACAGCAGCAGGAGGGAATGGGGACATTTGCATTAATTTTGATTATAGACTTGAGGCAACATCCAGGCTCAGGCTACCTGCCTTCCTGGTTCCTACTTGAGCCTTCATTCCTTCTGTGCCCTAATAACTGTCCCTTGGCCCAGATGTAGTGGTGAGTCACCTCCATCAGTGTCATGTGCTCGTTACCCAGAGTACTGCAGACAACCCTCCCACTGGCTTGAGGAGTCTCAGATTTAGCATTACATACTGTCAGGTGAATAACTGTCCTTCAGCTTGTCTAGAGTTACTTGGAGATGTCTCAGTCCAGGGCTCCCTGATTAATCTCTCAAGTAGAGTTCTTTCCTGTTATATCTCCTTCTCGGTTTCTTCCCACTCTCCTTCAGATCCCGGCTCAAACATGCAGGCACCTGCTCCTCACTTCCTGCTTCCCCGCCCCTTTCCTCATCCTCCTCTTCTCTCATCGCTCACCTCCTTCCTTTTCTTCTTACTCTTTCCCTCTTCTGATCACTGAGGGAGTCAAGGTCCTTCTGTCTCGCTCGTCAGGGCTCTTGGCTTAGCTTTACATTCAAACTGATCCATGCACTGAGTCCCCTTGCAGCCTTCCTGCTTGACCCACTCATAGATGCCTTATAGAATCAGCTCTTGATTTTTATTCATGGATTCGTTTGCATTCCACTCCAATTTCCCAACATTTCCTCCCACTATTCCTATGTTATCGTTATTATCCCTTTCCCTTAGACTTCTGGATTCCAGTTTCTTTCATGATTAGCTTCCTGCCTATTAACTCAGCTTTTAAACAGGAACACTTACGAAACGTTTGATTCACCCAGAGATCCCAAAGCTGTCCTGACTACAGCAGAAATGAGGACCCACAGACAGCGACAACCCCTCATGTGGTCCCCAAAACTGAAAGTCTTATCTGCATATCTGAGAGGACACTGAGGCACAGGGAATTGTGAATGTCACTGGACCACTACAAATGCTTGTGCAGGCTGCACACTGTGAACGTCTGCTGAGGGAGGAAATGGACACTGAAATTCAGCCTGTGTTCTACTGGCCAAGCGGTGCACCTGCTGTGGGCCTGTGTCTGCCTAGAGTTGGGTAGGGGGGCACTTGGTTTCCAGTTTTTACACTGTGAGCCATCTACGGCTCTGGGTGCTGTAGAGGCTGGAGTTTCCACACTGCAGTTCAGAGGCCCGGAGTCTCCTGCAGTAGAAAGGGTGGGCTCAGCACTCAAGCTGGCCAGCCTATGGATGGCCATGGACCTGGGGGACAGGGCTCTGTGCATGTGTGGAAGCGGACCAGGCCCTTGGCAATGAATCCCGAGAAGCATAGAGCCCCAA